GTCAAAATTTGTGATCAAGATTGATCACAAAAACTCAATCACAAATTTGTTGTTTCTGATCACATTTTTTTGTGATAAAAACCGATCACAATTTTCCGTACGAGGAAGGGGGRCCTGGGAATCTAAATTTTCCCAAAAACTGAAATCGACATGGTTCCAGAGACATCAGATTTCMCAAACACGAAAAATAGGCGTTGTTGTTTTGTTGCCGAGCCCAAAACAAAAACCCCTTCGTCCTCTTCCTTTTYCAGCTAATGTAGCACCCAAGATGTATCACACTCAGTGCAAATCTAAAATCGCCACTGACAAAAGACACAAAAGTACTAGACACATTGAATGCAAGAATAGAAGCAGTGGAGACTTGACATAGGTCGACACTGAACTGTTGAGTAATTCCATCATTAACAGTTAGAGCAGCACACCACGGTATTCACGAGAAGACCTCGCATCACGACAGCAATTGCAGCGGCCATCAGGACAGAAAATTTCGATAAAGCGAAAAATTGTCATACAATGAATTCATCACACAACAGCTACGACCCCAACGTTGTCATTCAAGCTGCAGAAGCTAAGCTCGCGGCCGGCGACGTCAGCGGAGGACAGACTCTCTACCAATCGTCCCTCTTCAACTGGGTCGACGATGCCCAATTTGGCAACGTTCAAAACAAGGACCAATTGCAGGAAGCGATTGCAACGCTGTGGATTTCTTACGCTCACTATTTACGAAAAGCGAAACAATTTAAGACGGCTTCCGAAGCGTACGAGAACGCCACCAAGTGTCCTGTTAGCGGTAAGGTAGGACGGATCTGGCTAGATTATGCCCGGTTCTTGGAAGACCGGAACAAGGTCCGGTCTGCACAGCAACTTTATTTGAAAGCTCTTGTAGGTACGAACACTRATGAAGGAGGCATTGTCCAAGACGAACAAGACAAGAATTTGCTATGGTCGGAATTTTTAACCATGATGCAAACGAAGGCAAACCAGCCCGATCTGACTCTCCAGGGTCTCAAGGACGCTGTACAAAAGGAGCACACAAACCAGTTGGCCAGCGCCAACGAGGATCAGCAATTGGATGTTGTAGGCAGCAATAMCGCTGCGGGGGACACCATGTACGACGACTTGCCTACGAGCAAACGACCTCGGCTTGGTAGCGGTAGCAACAACAACCCCGCCCCCGAAATGGCCTCGTCTTCGTCCAGCACCACCCGCACACACGTGGTTACCGCGAAGGACGTCCAGGTCGAAGAAGAAGCTCTCGCTGATATTGTCAAAAGTGWYCGGAAGGATCCTCTTTTTATTTCCACCTGGATGGTCAGGGATGGGGATGGTCCTCCCAGTATTCCAATACAATTATTTTCTGCGGCACCTCCCAAGCTTTCAGATCCGAGTGGACGAGATTTGCTTGGAAACGATTTGGCACTTGCACTGGTACAGCGATTGTTGACAAATGGAGAGGTGATTCTGGCCGTTGCGAAGGGTCTATGGATGCTCGCGGGTCTTACCGAAGAGAAGACTAGCAAACAACTGAAAAGTCTTGATGATGGTATGGCAGCGAATCACAAGGAGCTTCGGGCACGATTGGATGAGCGATTGAGCGTAGCTGGAGCTGCTACCGTAGCGGTGCAGACCATGAACGAGCTCGAACTGAGAAATTTCGAACAAGATTGCTTGCAGAAGCGCCAGCAACTCTTGAACGAGACAGCATGGGAATCGAGGCAGCTGTTGTGGGTCCAACAGTTACTTTTGGCAAAACTGGGGCTTTCGGGGTTTCAAGGGCCGACGGCCGATGCACAGGAACTGGACTTGCAAGTCCGGGTCTGTTCTTATTTGCACTCTGCTTTCTTTTTGAGGGAGCGCATTGGGAACGATGCTCACACAAAGATGCTTGAATCACAAGAAAAACGCTTGAAAGATTTCAAGGATAATCCCCGACCCAGCAGTCCGAATCGAAGCAGGAGTCCAATGCAAGGTACGGCCGCCTTTTCTAGCAATAGTCCCASTAGGATGAATCAAAATGCAAGTCCGATGATGGGTACTGGTGAACGGCGGAGCCCTGTCCCTATGCACTATCCCATACCAATCAACGTGGCACAGCAGCCACCGCCGCCACCCCTCTATCCATCGCATCTACCGCCACCCCCACCTCCTCCACCACAATTACCTCCGCCGCCGCCACCAGCAAATTACCTACATCAGCAGCCGCAGCAGCAGTATAACTCACAACAGCATATGGGAATRCCCGGAAATTATCCCCAGCAACCACAAAATCCACCATACTATCGATAGAGTAAACAAAAATACGATAGTGTGCATAAGTTAAAGTTGGGTCAGTTGGAGAATCTCTCTGGTTGGTCGATTCAATTTTTTCGAGAAAGTCTTGATGTTGCGTTTTCTAAATTAAATTGGTATCGAGTGTAACCTTTATTCTATCTCTATTCTTGAACAATTTAYGCACGGAGGGTCCTCCACAAAATGTAGAGAATTTTTGATACATTTCATGGGTTCATACCATTTTTTTTAATTGAAAATGCTTCCGAGTGTTTTAGGTGGCGGAATTTCATCTAAAATCTCTTATTGTTGGAAAGTAACGAGTGTAATAGGAAGTTGTCATCCACATCACCTGTATTGAACAGGGACTGAAATACGACACAAAAGAAGCTCCTACGGGACGGATCTTTTAGATTCTGSTGCTGAGTTGTTCCGCAGCAGATACTATGGCACGTACTTTGTGAGACAACTATACAGCCACAAACTCTGGATGTACCATTAAAATGATGATATCTACTCAGCTCTCGACCATTATGTTTTTCAAAATATAATTATCTTTGTCATGCTATCATATGTACACACACACACAAATCGAGGACACAGAAGGCAAACTTTTCTTCGGGTGATACTTATGCCATGCGCTCTAAATGAAATAGCTCCCTRTCACCCTGCGTGAAAATGACCCGGTACACCCTCAACTCGCAATTGTCAAACAGGGGGCTGTCGGGAATCCCAAACAAACCTCGTTCCAGCTCTCGCAGGAATCCCTTGTGGCTCACTACGAGAACGTGGCGATGATCGCATTCCATCAAGAGGTCRAACATCTCGCCGGCGCGTTCCCGGAGCATTTCCTTCGACTCACGGACCAGGGCTTCGTCCTCGATTTTATGGGGAAGCAGCTGCTCCATGTTCTCGATGGAAAACCGGTCGTCTTCTCGCGTGCATCGCAAGAGCTGGTCGAGAGGCTTCGGCCTGTCCGGTGGATACAGCGTTCGTCGTTCCGCRATTTCTGGTCGTATGTGCGCCTTTAGGTCCTGRTCCTCTAGAATGATCTTGCACGTCTCCAGGCACCTGGAGAGCGGGCTGCACATTGCTTCSGTCGGGTGATGGATTGTCTTGTTGGCAATCAATTCCCTGAGCTTTTGGGATGTTTCTCGCGCCTGTTGCCGKCCTTTCTCGGTTAGGGCTGCRTCCCGCAGGGATTTGTCCTGCAACACCGATTTTCTTGCTTCTTCCATCCGCTCGTGCGTTTCTTCGGGAGACAGGTTCAATTCCTTTGCCTCCTCTTCGGCCTTCTTCTGAGCTATTTTTTCCCGTACGTTGTGCTCTGCCTCCCCGTGACGGATCAAGTAGATTGTTCGTCGGCGATGCAAACCGTCTCTGGTCTGAACACTCTGGAAGCTATCGCATATGCTTCCCTTTGCATCGCTAYTCCTTGAAGTGTCGCACGGGGAGCCGGAGGGCACGACGTGCACGAAATGATCGGAGGCCTCCATTGGATCGCTGTCTGCTCCTCGCTGCGCCGCCAGTCGAACGAAGAGCGGTGGTCCTGGCTGCCGGGAAAAGGAGAAACTCGACACCGCCAATGGTGACAACGGCACCGATAGCAACAGMAGACGATAGATGATTCAGGACTCGWATTCGATGGATGTGGGTGTTGCGTYGAACCGGAAAAGYGCCGCAGCTGCAGACAGAAAGTGCAAATTGCTTCTACYGTTTTGAAAAACTTTTCGGATCTATCGGAGTTCCCATCCATTGCAAGGTTTCCACGGTACGTACTCGTACGTACTTGGGTACCGTAGAGAACGAAGCCCATGGGACAGGAATGAGACGAGAAAATGACAGAGTTGTTCTTTTTTTCCTGTCGCACAAAGCTCTGTACGGTGCCAAACGTAGTTTCACTACTGACCCTAGGGTTCCTCTTCGGGAATCACATTGCATCTCAGTATTAGATCTACTGCAGCTTACGGTACCGTACGATAGGATACCGTAGACTCTCCGTAAAAAATCCGAAAGATGGGGGAGGCACAGGCACAACGCATAACCGACCAGCTAGCTTAATTGGATGTTCCTCGTAGGAGACGCATAACACATTCGTTGATTACAACCAGAGAGCCAACGCGTGGGTGTGCCATTGATTCTTTGTTTCCCAAGAAACCACAAAGGATCAGATAACTCCTTTCCGACGAGACAACGTTCCCGATCGGGGAGCACAAAGCTAAACACAAACAAGAATGGCCGTAGGCATCGGAAGGTACCCATGGTTTTGGACGGCCCTCATTGCCGTTCTGGCATATTCCGACTTGCGAGCTTTGCAYGGCGACTGGGTGTACGACGATGCTGGAAGTGTCATCAAAAACGTCGTCGTTAACGGTTCGGTGGACTGGAAAGAGGCCTTCACCCGGGACTACTGGGGAACCGAGATGAAAGAGGCGCAGTCTCACAAGTCGTTCCGACCCATCACAACCCTCACGCTCAAGGCGAACTACGTTTTAGGGCACTACCTAAAAGGCAACACRCCAGAGGAGCAACAGCAACAGGAAGCGGAAAACGGGTCGCAAAACCTACCTCCTACGTGGACTTTTCACGCCGTGAACATTCTCTTGCACGGCATCGTGACGGGGTTGGTCACGAAAGCCACGTCGTTCGTGTTGCCAAGGAAKGACATTGTTTCGCAACTGGTGGTTGGATCTTTGTTTGCGGTCCATCCCGTGCACGCCGAAGTCGTCAGCAACATTACGAGCCGGGGTGAAATGCTGATGAGCGTGTTTTTCTTTGTGGCCTTCTTGTCCTATGCGGGAACGCGCCAAAAATGTCGCCGACAACTACAACTACARCWACAGCAACTGTCGTTGAGGGAACAAATATGGGGGATCTATTTATTGCCGTGGTTGTGCATGACGCTAAGCTTGTTTTCCAAAGAACAGGGTGCGACAACCCTGATTTCGTTGGTGGCCTGGGATTTTTTGAAACACCACGGGAACCTCGTGTCGTTCCGACGAAAATTGTTCTCGAAAGTCGATGAAGAGAAGGAYGCCAACGGGGCCGGTRCAATRGCCTTCCGCACYGCGAGGGCGGAGCGAGCGGAAGCACKGCAATTCGTTGTCACGGCTCTRGTTCTGGCCGCACAGACACTGATTGTTGTTGGCTGGAGGTACATACTGAACGGAGAAACCAGCCCSGACTTTATCGAGCAACAAAATCCGGCGGGTTTCGCGAAAGACCGGTTCACCCGAGCCTTTTCCGTCACGTGGGTTTATTGCCTGTACATCAGAGACGCTGTCTACCCATACTATCTCAGCCCGGATTGGTCTGGATTGAGCATTGATCTTATCACGAACTTACGAGACCCAAGAGCAATGGCTGTCGTCGCTCTGTGGTACTTTTCGGCGCAATCGTTTTGGTCGATGATCGTGGGTGCCGAATTACCACGCGGTTCGTTCTGGAACGAAACCACTCTGCGCCAAGTGAACACCGCCGTATGGGCCTTCACTTTTTCACCGTTTTTGCTATCCTCGAACATTCTTGTCGTTGTTGGACTTATGAAGGCGGACAGGGTAATCTACCTTCCGCTGTTCGGATTTTGCCTGCTCGAGGCAATTCTGATGAGCAAATTTTTGAAGGGTGCAACCAGGATGAGACCGGCGTTCGAACGTCGCAAGGAGCAATTGTTTTGGGGGACGCATTTCTTCTTTATGTTTCAAGTGATCGTTTTTTCGGGGAGAACCCACGAGCGCAACCTTGCTTGGAGCAATTCGCTACAGTTATGGGGAACAGCGTACGCCATCAATCCTAGATCCCATCACACGATGTACAACTATGGCTACGAGCTTAGTCTCAAAAAGCGCTACGCGGAAAGCGAAGCTGTAATGCGACCGATTGGCAGTGCTCGAGTCGATGGACCCTCGAATACCTTTGTCTATACGATGGTCTTGTTCAATTTGAACCAGTGCAAACGAGCAAATGTTCTGTTGGACGAGGCCTTCGAAGTCATCGAGGAGATGCGGGCAGAAGGCGGAACACGGAATACCGACTCCAGCTTGGCGAGGAGCGAGTCGAATCTGTTAGTTGCCAAAGCGCATTGCACCGAGGATCCAAAAGAAAGAGGCGCTGTGCTATACGAGTCGGTAGAAAAGGACCCAAGCAACACCTATGCGGTTCAAATAGCAACAAATTATATGAAGCAGTTGGAACAGGTAGGACTCATAAATAATAATCKCTAACCTTTGCAGATGACAAACGCATTGCCGAAGTATCCATATTATTCAATAGTGTGTACTAATTAGTTGGAAATTATAGTCAACTTTGGTTCCACGCACTAAGGGCAAGGTGCCGAAAAACGGCATTCATGACGTGAGAAGTTCCGAATCGATTCATCCATCACTTTCTGGACCGCTTGAGCATTCGCTCCCGCAACGCCTGCTTTCTTTGCTTCTTGCTCTTCTTTTCGCTCGCTGCAAGTTTTTGGGTCGCTTCCAATTCCTTTTGTTCCTTGTCAGCATCTTCTTGACACCGGACGCAGAGACGGGATTCACCAGTTCCTTTGTGTTCATAGCAAAGAGTAGTGGGCTTGTTGAGCTTGGGAGGTGGTAGCGCTGGTGGTGGAGCCTCCCACCATCCAGGAGCTTCGATGTGCCTCTTGGCTATGTGTTTGGTAACCATTTCGACGTAATCCAGAAGTCCAGCACGTGCTACGTACTTGTCGTACAGTTTGAGGCAATTTTCAGCAATCTCTCGACACTCTTCGTCGTGCTCACGACACCACCGAATTTTTTCTTCCAAATCCGAGAGATCCGATTTTATAGGAATGTGATCCACATATGGCTGCAAGAGAGGAAAGTACCACATTCTATCGGCAACCTGCCGAGGTTCAACCTTTAAAATGACCGATCCTAACCGCATCATGAAGGCATAACGACACGCAGCGCAATGSCCATCAACGTACACCAAATACTTATACCTTGATTGTTCGTAGATCGGTGTGAAGTGATGTCTTCCAGCTGTAAATTTAAAATCACTTGGCCTCAAAAATGTCATCGGATGCGCCGCCTCTTTTTTGTCTCTTAGATTCCACCCTACAATGGCTGCATCTAGGAAGGGTTCATCTCCGCCTTTTTCTTCGTCATCTTTCCATTCGTGTGACAAAGAAGCCACTTTGAGGCGCTGGTTGTTGTCGACGGTTGTTCCTCCTCCTGTAGCCGTTCCCCTGAAAAATGCTGTAGCGACGCGGCCTTCATACCATCCTCGCTTGAATTTTTGAAAGTTTTGTTCCGTAAACAGATCACGGGGAGGCTTGAAAACGGGGTAGCCTTCCTCGTCCACCTCTTTGTACAGGAACGTTTGTGGAAAAACCAATCCGCAGGCTCCCTCCCAATCTTCGGAGGATGGCCACGGTATATCGGAAAAGCGATCTTCGGCAGCAGCATAGAAACTTACGATGGGAGCATATGTCTTAAATTTGTGTTCGTCCACAAGGTCTACATCCTGTGCTGGATCTCGGTCGTCCTTATCAAATATAAAGCCATACGGCTCAACTGGGATGCCGCGCTCCACGTTTACCTTCAGCTGGGGGTAGTCACGCTTGTTCAGGAAAAATTCGCAATCCGGAATCTGTCGTTCTCGACAGGCCTCGGCCAACATGTCTTTCAAGGGTGACAAGAATTGATCACCCCATACCTGGATTTGATATTTGGTCTCGTTCTTATTTGAAGAAAGCTCATTGCAAATAATGTTCCCGTTTGCCCACCAGACGGACAAGTCTTCCTCGATGTTTTCTTTTCGGCAAATGCCCTTCTTCTTTGCATAATATTCCTCGAGGGAGCCACCTCCCTCAATTTTTAATCTCCCGCTCCAAGTATTGCGATAATCTCTGTTGGAAAAGGGACAGAATATTCTAACCTTCCCGTCACGAATCATTACGTAAATTCCACATTTCATGTGGAAAAAGAGATATTTCAACGTATTCAAAACCGAGACAGGCGTTGTTGCTTTATGAAATGGAAGATTAAGTCGAAAATTGATAGCGTCCACAACTTCTTTGCCTCCGGAACGTTCATAGATGTTGCGTGAGTTGTCGTCGGGAGTACGGCCGTAATCCTGGGGAACTTTTTTGGCTTGGCTGGGTTCCTTTCGAGCTTTGGTAATCGCCGGTATCAATATCTGTTCTATTTGATCCCATGTGATTAAAGTGGTAAAGATATGTTTCAAGTGGGGGAATCCTGGATTCGATCCACCGTGATGTCGGACATACTCTTTCATGAACTGCAAGCAGTCGTCTTGCGATTCGAATCGAGGGACTTTGTTTGGAAAATCTCTCACTGCCTCGTTCCAATCATCCGAGTCGCCTTTTTCGCCGAAGATCCCGCGATATTCCGATGGATGATGCTGGTCTTCAGGGAGTTTTGTCTTTCGAAGCTTCACAAATGGTGCCATTTTGTCTTCAGAGTTCGCCCACGGGAACGTCCTCCTTGGCTTTTTCTGGAACTACACKTCGGCCTCGGTTTCACAGAAGGAGATTAGAAATGTGACGGAGCAACTGGGATCAGCTAGTGCCATCAGTGTGAAGTGAGAGTACGGCGGTGTCGAGGAAGATTCCGTACCGTAGGATTACGGATTACTGATTACGTAATGTCACTGTTCTGTGCCGATCCATAGGGTTATGTACGTAGCGTTCGTAGGTACCGTGCGGGTAGAATACATCATAATTTTGTTTGATAACTGACAACTTCATGTGAGATCCATTTCCCGGCTTYATTTCATATTTCATACGGTATTATTTCATATTTGGGGGAGAGGAGGTAAATTGTTTCGTAAAGGATTGTTCGCTCCTCCCCYAAAATATGGTTGTCACCCTTTCCTGTCAAGAATTTCAATCAAAGTTGTCGGATTTGTGACGCATTTTGCATTAGCATTTTTAACATCAAATTATTCGTACGTACTTGTACGTACTAAGACTACAGGTAGTGGACGGAGGTCGGGCGGGGTCGACATTCGACATTCGACATCTTACGGTACAGTAAGATGCGTACGGAGCAGTACGCAGCAGGGTATGACCCATGCAAGTACGTACGTACGATAGGATTGATAGAAAAATTGAAAAAATAAAATTAAAAAAATTACTTCAGGTAAAGAAATGAGTTTGCGTGTCAGTCAGAAAGATTTTGTGATACGTAAACAACCATGACATACGATGGTGTTCGATTCACCACCACAATTTCAACCTAAGGAAAACTAAAATACCGAACCTTGACCATGGGTGGTCAACCGAACATGCTAGTCCCCTTCCGGGTGCTAATCCTCTCTATGTTATGCTCTGTGATCAGCTCCTTTGCTGTTGGAAGCTCGGCGGCATTTATGATGAAATCGTCGCCGGAAYCATCATCGTCCAATTTCTCTACCAATTCCCGTCGCCGGCAAATCCTCCGGGTCGGTGCCGGAGGTTTGTTTTCCGGTCTTCCTTTCTTTGGTTCCGATAGCGGCGAGGCAAGCGCGGCCTCCCCCGCCGACACGAAAAAAAAAGGCGGCGGTCCAACCGGTGAAGTGTCCAAAATCGTGAAGGGAATGAAACGAAGACGGCTCGGAAACTCGGACATTTTTGTCAGCGAGCTCGGTTTGGGCACGCAGCGATGGGTGAGCACCGATTTTAACGCCCCCGATCGCAATCTTTGCTACGAATTCATGGACGAGGCCATCCTCAAGCGAGGAGTCAATCTCATTGACACAGCCGAACAATACCCCATTCCGAGTGGTGGTCGTTCTTCGGAGGGCGATACCGAACGCGTTATTGGCGATTGGATGAAAGACCGCAAGGTGCYACGGAGTGATGTTGTGATTGCCACRAAAATCACCGGAGGGACCAACATCACGCCCCGGAATATCAAAAAGGATTGCGAGGGATCTCTGAAACGACTGCAAACCGATTACGTGGACGTATATCTKTGTCATTGGCCACAGAGATATAGCCCACAGTCAAACTGGGGCCAGTCTCTGAACTACAATCTGGACTACGAAACCAGCTACAGAAGAAGTCTAGGAGCTCCCACGTCTTTTGAAGACCTTTGCCTGTCGATGGAAGAATTGATTSAAGCTGGAAAAATTCGTGGATGGGGACTCTGCAATGACAACGCCTATGGTCTTACCGCGTGCACGAGAACTGCSAAGGCTCTGGGAACAACKCCTCCTTGCACGGTAAGTAAAGAGGAKTTGTCTGCGATTGGACAATTTKCGTTCCAAAATTCAAGATCAGAATCCAACCTAACACTTGCTACGCTTCGACTCGTTTAATTCAAAAGATGCAAGGTGATTTTAGCATTCTTGATCGCAAATCGGAAGAAAATGGTGTCGCCGAAGCGGCATCCCCATACAACGAAAATGTTGGGTTCATGGCGTACAACGCTCTAGCAGGAGGAATGCTCACCGGAAAATACATGGAGGTTCCATCCGCCTTTGACGATCCCAACCGAGATCGCGCCATGGCCTCGCTTTCGCAACCTAGGGGACGAATGGATACGCGAGGATGGGGAGGAACATTGATTCGGTACAGGACCGATGCTGCCCAAGAAGCCATCAGAGAGTACGCCAAGATCGCAAAGGCAAACAAAATGAGTCTGACGGAACTGAGTTTGCGTTGGTGCAAACAGCGCGATTTGATCACAACGACCCTACTCGGTCACACAAACATGAATCAATTGAAAGAAACGCTGGTACGTATTGCATGCCATTTATTTTTGTGCCCTATGACATTCTGTCATCTTTTGCTGTATTTTCGTGATTAACCTCACTCACAACTGTTGCTCTCCAGGACATTTTAAGCACGAAAGAAAATTTACCCCCGGACGTCATGTGGGAGATCGATAGGGTTCATATGAAAAATCGATTGCCACTATTTAGTAATAGTCGCACTGGAAAAGACTGGTATGGCGAAGGACAAATAGGAGAGAATATTCCATAGTCATGCTGTACACGAGTAGACTTTGACAGAAAGTTTCACRCTGTCATAAAATCAGTTTGTTTTCCACACACAAAAATTATATAGTTCTCTCAYGTTTCAACATACTTTGAGTTGGTTTCTTTGTCAACACGCCCCTCYAAATAAGCGTGGCRTTACTTCCCTCTTCGCTTCAGAGAGCATATGTTGACCATATGTCTCAATGCTTGTTTACCGAAACAATCCAGTAGGAAGCTGAATCGCGACTTTGATCTGACTCCATTCGACCGTTACTCTAGAATATCATCTAGGGTGTCAAAATAGGCATTCCGATTTGTCTCTTTCTCACGGATCTCTTGTTTTATGCTATCGTCAAGRCTTTGGTCGTCATCTGATACATCCTTCATTTCGAAAGTGACGGTYTGTCTCTTTGGTGCCTTTGGAGGATCTTCAAGTGTAACCCTCAATGAATCTTGACCGTTTTCCTCATCGTCAGATTCGTCTCCATCGTCGGAAGATTCCCCCATAATCTCATGCGCAGTCTCCAAGACTTTCGTTTGATGCTTTTGGTACTCTTGTTCTTTCTCCAAAATGGTTTCATGCAAGCTTTCACGAGAATCAGATACAAACCAAAGTAGCGTTTCCATCACCAAAAAACACGTACCCCATGTAAAGAACCAGCTGCATGGAATGGAGATCAGCAATTCATTCGAAACACATCAAGAACGGTCCACCACGACAAAATAGACAATGTCAACATTTTATGAGAGATCCGAAAGAAAACGTTCCGCTCAAATAAAAGATAGCTTTACGAAACTCACCTGTTTCCGATTTGCTGTATTCGGTGTTTGAAAAACACAAGATATTAGCAGAATCGCAGTGTTGAAAGAAGCCTGCAATGAGTTTTCGATAGGACTTACCGCTGCAAAGCCCCCTGGAGTTGTCGCAAAGCAAACTGCCGGGATCCATACAAACGCCAAAACTAGCAAACAAAATGCCTCTATGTATKTTTCGACATTGCCTTTTTTGTCGTCGGAAGATACCCGAAAGATTTCCATAAAAACGAAAACAGCCGACGGAAGAAGCGTTGCWGCTGCCAAAAAAACGAGGAGCTCATATTGTCTATCATCTATGCTTCCGTAGTAGGCTTCCAATTTGGGATTTGCATCTTCCTCACTCCGAGAATTCGGATTCATATCGTATGCAGTATAGATATCGACGTACCACCAAAGCGCAAAGAAGTCTGAMAATAGAATAGCAATCCAGCCCGGGGCTCGATGGGGCCAAGATTTTATGAACTCTTTAATGCTGGGCCAATCGCGTTCCATCATTTTCGATTCAACAATTGMGGTTGCGCAGATAAAACAGCACCATGAACTAAAATAAATGTTATACTGTCCCTTGCCATCGCCCGCGATACCCTTGGCCCTAGTTTGAATAATTACTGCCATAAACCACCACAGYAGCAAKGAATAATCGAGAATCATTTCAAATTTTGATTTKGGTGCGAAAAGCTTATTTTTCCAAATATTTGCAAGGCATGAATACGTATCCAAGTGACACGCCACGCAAAACCCAGACGTTATACATGATACTACCGCAACGACGAAACCAAACTGCCGTTGGACGCTGCTCGAAGCTATAACATGTACGTCATCTATGGATTGAGAAACAAACACACCGTGGTAATTTATGACCGAGGATAAAAACATGATCAAGTACCCCGTGAAACGGGGCGACTTGTACAGCTTCTTTTCCTTCTGTCGCGTCGAATCGTTTCCCCCGCTTGTTTCGCCATCAGCAATCTCGTCGTTTTCGTCGTTTTTGGTGTCGTTGGTTGCTGACGAAGGATCTGGTCCTTTCGGGTTAGCAGCTGCCAGCATCTTTTTTAGAACATACAATTCGACGATTGTTTATTAAAGTGATATCTTCTGATTTACTGTAGTGGAAATGTCAGAATCAYTCTCCAGAAGGTGATGACACCGACAGTAAATGAAAACAGAATTCGCCGGATAGGGTGCCGAATAGTACCAAAGCCCTCGGTTAGTTTTTCCGGGTGATTTTTTGACGAATAAAATAATTTCTCGAAAACCCAAAT